TATGCCATGACTAATGATCGAGAACTTTGTGACAGTTGTCTGATTCCGTGGCGCGAAAACACAAGAGGCGTCCGAAATTTGGAACTACTTAAAGCGTTGCACAAGCTACAAAGATGAAAGCAACTGGCTTTTCTGAGATTTATTAACTTTTGTAGTACATGAAAAGAAATTTATAATTTCAAATTCCGGTAAAGCAAAATGACTAGTTCCTGCAAACCTCTTGATACTTTGTACTTTTTAGGCCTTCTTGATGTTCATTCGATTTGCAGAGAAAGGAAAGAATCTGCGCCTAACGTGGAGTAAACTTCATTTCTGTTTTTGAACTTCCTATCCTTCGTCCATCACTATTACAATCTTAATCCCGTGAGAACCTGCACAAAAAAACGTTCCGGCTCTGACACGCATACCCAACTTATTCATTTCTGATCAGTCTCGCTGAAACAGAGCCTACCGTACAAACGCGAAGTTATGAGGGGAAAAATTTAGTTTTCTTTTTCTCCTTTAAATCCTAATCCAATTTCAGATCAGTATTCGTCACCATTAACGAAGGCCTCAAAGCAATACAGCAATTAATTGGGCCTTCGGGCCAACTAGGCCACATGTAATAGGATGTACTTTTAAAAAATGGAAAGGATAGTAGTGAGGGATGTAAAAATGCCGTTAACCTCCTGCGAGATTACATAATAAAGCTATTTTCCTCAGAGGGCCAGACGTTCAACTCAGTAGTGCTATTCAGAAGTAATCCTTCAAAGACATGTAATTGCAACCACCTAAAAATGCGTCTTATTATCGGCCACTTACCTTTGGAGCAAATGGCAATATCCTTCATCAACGAAGAAGATATTTCCTATATGGGTTCGAAACTTTCACTCGGAAGTTCTTTTTCTGTTGACAGAAAATGCTACGAAGTTGCTAAAATGACACGAAGGCCAGCAGACAAATACCAAACAGTCCTGTTAACTCGTAAATGCACATGGAAGGAAAACACTGTAGACATCCTGAAACGACTAGTGGCGTTCTTGTGAACTAGCCCAAACCGCTGTTATTAAAGTAGAAGGGAGTTTGAAGACTAAACGCTGCTAATTCAAGTCCATTTTCGGCTCCATACTCATCTTATGATCATGAGTCGTGGCAGTGACAAAAATGTCGATTTCGGATATAAGCGGATAAAATTGACTTTCTGAGACGAATCACTAGCCTCACTCGTATCGGCATAGCCCAAAGTATAGAAATCGGAAAACGCCTCGGTGTAAGGTTTGCTGCACTAGGCTGAAAAATCTTCATGCTATACTCCCTTTTCTCCCCTAGCGCGCCAGCGAATTTATGCTGAAAAGGCTGTGCCAAAAAAGTTGTCAATATATTACTTTACGGAGAAACGATATGACTGATCTAGGCAGACATGATTCGTTAAGTCGGTGGATGATGTAGCTATAAATATAGATGTCATGTATTCCATTTAAACAATGATGTTCGGTATTCATCAATTTGACATCCCAAGATCATGCACAATGTTATTATGCAACGATAATTCCTAATTAAACCGCAATTCTTGACAGCAATATTCATTCTTAATCGTAACTCCGCCATGGCCGGTCCCAAGCCCGGATGAGACAGGAGGAGGGTTGGAGACCGTGGCAAGCCTCCGTAAAATTCAGCCACCTGCCACCCATGGTATTGACGCC